TCCAGCGCTACAAAACTGGAACCTGCTCTCACTTCCAACATGATGGACGTGGTTTTTAATTTTCTTGCTGCTCGACTGTGTTTTTAAACACCATTATGGCTAGAATAAAAATCCCAGTTAATTTGATTAATATTGAGATTGCAGTTATTCATCGTGATAATTCTGTAATTTCAGGGACTATTTTTCATGTTGTGTTACTTTCCCGCTACTGTTTAAGTCTTTGCAGACACAAAATGAGCTTTACCTGAATACCACCTAGAAGCTAATGATAAAAACAGATGTGCCTGAAATGCCTCACTTGCTCAACATCTGCCTGTCGATGCTGCTACAGTTTGCCAGCGCCCCCTTAATGCAGTCTATGGTAAAATAAAACGAGGCGACCCTGCACAGAAAAGCTTCTAGTCTCCACTCAGCAGGTCACAAAGGTGTGAGACTGAAAATTACTTTGAGGAGAGGAAATGAAGGGGTTCTGATTTCAGATTTACCAAAGTTAAAAGCGAGTGATTTTATCTTCATGGGCTGTTTTCACTGATTGTAAATGTAAGATTGATCAGTTGCTCATTTAAGTGTGAGAAACCAAAGTCACTATTTTTTTTTTAAACTAAGTGTGCAGCCTTAAAAGGAGTTATTAATGCACAATATTTGCAATTGAAAGGAACACTCAGACATGCTGCATTATTTCTAGCAGCAGAACAATAAGTAAGCAGAACTCCTCGTACAGTCGATCCGGCTCATTTGCTGAGAAGAATTTAAACAGTCAGTTTGAGCCATGTTTCCGGACAGCGTTCACTGCTCGACGTTTTTCTGCCACAACAGTAAATTTTGTCGCCCACAAATAAAAACATTGAGCTCAAAGATGCTAAAATGCTGCGCTGAGCTGCAGGGACCTGCTGAGCGAGGTCGTAACTCTCGAGCCATAACATATTGATTAGTGCAGCTTTAACTCATATTAAGGGACAAATTTGTGATTTGCACGGTTGTTATAAATTGGGCTTTAAATAGCACAAAGCATAATATGTTGCATTTAGCCTCAGACGACATCAGTCAGGGAACAGATCCATCTCGCAGCAGCGCTCACACCCAACACTTTTGTGCCAGACTGTTTACACTTGTAAGATTATGTGCATAATGAGGCTGCATTGTCTCGGCAAAGTGCTGCTTTAATTCTTTGAAGCTGAACAAACTGTCCCTGGCACATTTGGGTAGGGGTGGAGAGATATCAAAGTCACTTTATTGAGATGAAAGAACTGGCCCAAACAGCAATCTGAGACATTAGTCATTCCTTCTTCTCGCTGACAGAAACATGCTCTCAATTTACGAGTCAGGTGCTTCCAGTGATTTCTGCCAGCCTTGTTCCTCCACATCATAAATTCCTCTTTATGCTCACTCATCCCACAGGCAGACCCCTTTTCTTTGGCCTGCCTTGTCAGAAAATTCACCCCATGTTGGCATATTGGACGACGTCCAGGCTGCCATTAGCAGTTACTGTGTTGCGTATACCATGTAATACACTGTGAAAGAGCACTGAATTTAAATAGACAGCAGTGATTGTGCCCCTAGGTGCACATTTATACTTTTTTACAGGTTTTCTATCGGCACTTTAATTCATTCTTTCTGTGGTGTTGACTCTGCAGAGCTCCCACTTACACCGTGTTCATTTTCTCTAAATGCTTCACGTGGAGCCACTGGCTTCCAATCTATGTAATGAAGGTTTAATAGCCAATTGGAACATCCAATATCATTAGCAGCCAGAGTTAGTCTCATCCAAAATTTGCTTCTTTTTTTTTTTGATAACCAGAGGTGCAGCGTTTGATAGGTGGGGTATGTGATTAGCACCTGCTGCTTTAATGTATGTCCTGCCTCCCGTGGAGCAGAAAACCACATTTTACCACCTCTCGGGTTTTTAACAGTGTTTGTTCTGTTTAGGGCTGTAGTCAGCCAAAGAAAATCTGGAACCGCACCTACTCTTCAACCAATCGATTGGACGTGGGAAAAACAATCTGCAAGTTATCTGATGAACTAAATGTTCCATTGAGTGCGCTCTCCCTGATAGCCTTATTAGCCTAAATGAACTATAAATAAACTTAAAACGCCAGAATCTGCAGGAGATGAAATCGTTTTATACTGAAATGATGGCAGCAGATTCGGTTGCTGGTCCCGGCACAATAACTGTTGAGGAATCTAATGCGGACACGTTGGCCTGCTGTTTCTGTGGAGGTCGGCTGATGTGGTTTTGCAAGGCCAATAGCGGCAGAGGTCAAAGAGACAGTTAAACTTGTCTTATTTTGGGAAATTTAAAAGAAAGTGTCAAGAAAATCAGAGATAAGGCTCCTGATGTTGTTCTTCCAGAAATAATTGAATGTTTTTTTGTGCAAACTGGCAGCTTCGTGTTACACAACTAACAATTATTATTATTTTTAGGCATTTTCGCTTTAAAAAAATTACTAAATTTAACATTTGATCGATTAGCAAAGAAAATAAAACCACCCCACTCAATTTAGAATGATTGATTATTTTGCAAGTTATTTAAGTCACCTGCAGAAAATTCCTGCGTTTTGTTTTCGTTTCGTGCTAAATATTGAAACCAAACTGAAAAGTGCTCGATTAATTCAGATCATTATTAGAACTCAGGAAACGGATAAATGTTCTGCAAAATATGCACCCAGATAATTAGACGAGTATTTGTAGTATGTGCTGTTAATTGATCTATATTTCATCAAAGACAGATGCTCATTTCTTTTATTTGAATGCTAGCAGCAAAAGTCTAAGGATCGTCCACATACTTTTGTCCATGTGTGATATTTTGAGTGAATATACGTTAGCAGTAAAATTTGGAACAATACCAACTCCAACCCAAAACTTTGTTGTAATAGCTTTGTTTATTTATCCTCTAACTATGTTGGATTAAAAGTAAACTTGTGGCGTGTAGCTGATCAGTGCTGTGGGTGCCATGTTAAAGCTAGAGAGAGGCATCAGTTACATACAATAATGGTGCCGGTTACTGATAACACTGGGTTACAAAAAAATACTTTTTTGAAGGATTTTTAAACTGATTTTGCAACGCTAAATCCAAAAATCTGCTTTTCTGTATCAGGTCCGGTTTTTATGCCAACTCGATTTAAAAAAAATCGATTTTACCACTAAATCGATTACATTTTCTGACATTAGCGACTGATTTATTTTAGTATTTCTCATATGAAATCAGATTTTAAGAGGAAACATTTTCCATTTTCTAATCCTTTTCAGAAGCTAAACGATCCAAAAGTTGTAAACGTTTAGTAAATTGCATGTTTCCTCAAATCAAAATTTTGACCTCATTGAGCAAAACCAATGTGATATTTGGATTCAGCTCATTGCAATTGTCCAAAATCAGCTCAAAAAACTTTGACACCAAAATGGGTGCAGACCAGTGTAATCATTGGACCCAATGGTCTGCCATGTTGGTTGTTGAGCTGTGATATAGAAGCTGCTGTTTACACTTGACTTTCTCTCCATCTGCTTAAACAAAACAGAACGATGACGTCTTTGTGCCAATTAGTTTGTCAGTAAACGTTTCATAAGTTAGACGTAGCGGTCGTGGTTATGTTGGGTAAATTTAAAGATGTGATAACACAGTAGTCTGTTCCTCTCTCCACCAGAAGTAATGGATTAACCACTGAAAGCTTTTCTTCTTATGAAATTAGAAGTACGGTAGATGAGCCCAACCAGTCGACCCGGAGCCTACAGCCCCAGTTCTGTCTCAGCTTTGGTTCAATTAAAACAGCCGTCCTCTCTATAACTTACTGCTTTTCCTCTTCCTTTTCTAATATCTATTTTTAAGCAAACACTTCGACCTTGTTTGTCTCTTGTTATCCAGCACTTTTCCGTATAAATAGTTATTTCGGTTTCTGCGGGGCCACTATCACTCTGACATTTCTTACTATTGGCTGCTTGTCATATCAGCGATGCAGCGATTGAAATTTATTGCACCGGACTTGTTGTAAGTCAGAAATAAAAGCATCATTTAAACGTCTCAAATGGAAATGCAGAACTGAGAGAACAGCAGAATTAGAGCGCGGTGACTTTGATTATCTTTAAAGAGCAGTGCAGAAAATGATCTCCTGTATCTCTGTCATCTTGTTTGTCTTCGGCGACTTTATTTATTTACTGGAACATTTACTTGCTTGCGTTTGATCTGATGGGAGCCCTCGATTTGGTGTCACTTTCTGCGCACCATCCGTGGCCTTAAAAACTGCTAACACAGAACACAGAATTAAAATAGAAGCACTTGTTTTCTCTCTGTGATGAAGATTATTTTCGACAGCTGGAGTAACACTGAAAATATAGATGGACGTTATCTAGCTGTTCACCACACTGGGTTCATGCATGGGACGTGGACGAGATTCCAACAACAATATCAGAGAGGTATACTCACTCTAACAATCACACTGCAGAAAACAACACCACTCAAAATATGTTTGCTTTTCCCATTATGCCCTCTAATGCATACTGACAGATTCTTCTTATTTGCATTGACATTTACGTGTTTGCAATGATTACCAGAGACTGATTGGAGAAGACAGGAAGCATGATTGAGACGGAAACACACTATCAACGTAAACAACTAAATTAGCAGGAGAAAACATTAATAAAATTGTTCTCTGGTCTTTGTGTGAAATCCACAATATTTACATAAATACAATCAGCATATTTTTACGGTTGGCTTGAGAATTTCCTTTCGATGTAAGCAGCTATGCATATAATATGAGTATTGCAAGCCTATAAATGCTTCCCTAAATGCTCTCATAATGACCCCGGGCCTGGTCTGTTCATTGGAGCAATATCAGTCTTGTGACGAGGATATGTTAGTTGTAATAATGCCTGTCAACAACTCAAGCTGGAAATGTCTTGACTCCATTTTCATTCAAATAATCTGACATTGCTCAGGACCCGACAGCCTGTCTTTGTTTCTTTTTTTTTGTTGTTGTTATTGTTGTTTTTCCTCTCGTCTGGTCAGGTGATCACCCGGTGGGGAGGTACGGGGTGTCACTGTGGTAGTTGTAGTCCGGACACACCTTCTGCACCAGCTTGTAGTCGGTGCTGTAGAAGGTGATGAAGATGCAGATGACTTTGAAGGGTTTGGAGCACAGCCAGGACACGTGGCTCTGCGTCTGCTCCTGCGGGCAGCTCTGCGACGGGTCGTGGGCACACAGTGAGTTCCTGGTGCCCTTCTCCACCTTCTCGTACTCCACCCTGCAGTTGAACAGCTTGGTGTCTTTGGTCTCCAGGGCCGTCTGCTGCTGCTGCTGCTGGTGCTGCTGGTGATGATGGTGGAACTGCTGGTGCTGCTGGTGGACCTGGAACTCCACGGCCTTGGTCGGAGGAACGAGTCCCACGGAAACGTTGCCCTGACCGGTTGAGTTGTGTCGGAAGTAGACGCTGAACGTGCCGTTGCCGTGATCCACGATTTTCCCGGTGATGAGCAGGTTCAGCTTCACGGTCTTGATGTTGGAGTGGAAGTCGCCCCAACCAAACATCTTCTTAAACTTCCCCGTCTTGACGATGGGTCTTCTTTTTGTTCTTGATCGAGGGTCACGGGCGTTGGACGTGTTGTAAAGCCAGTTCCACTGCTCCTGTTTAGAGTAAGAGTCCGCCTCGTCGTAGTTCAGGTCCAGAGAGGTGAAGTTCTCTTTGCCGTAGAGGGTTTGGGACAGCAGGCGGCTGATGGAAAAGGCTTTGCTGCTTTCAGTCCAGTACGTCTTTACTTTGGATTTTGAGCTCTCTCTCAGGTCTGGTGGTGAATCCGCACTGGTGACCTGGAAGAGCAAACAAACACATTGACCAACAGAATATTCAACTGGAAGCTACGATGAGAGCAATGCAGCATTTACAGTTTCACAAATTGTGCAGATTTTGGGTGTTTCCATCACTGTTGGCTCTATTAGTATTTTAAAAAAAATCTTTTTACTGCAATATAAAGTCTGCACCTGTATGAAAACAGCACAACCAGGTCTAGAAGCAAAACATGTCTGTTGGGCTGTATGATGCAGTTCAAACGCCAGATATCATAAGAAAAGAAACTTGAATTTCGCTTATTATTCAACAAAAATCAGGGAAAAAAGAAGAAGAATCTGTTATCAGCACTGAAAAAGGAGGGCTTCAGTGTTATAGATGATATACTAATGACATTTTTTACGTCCTCTTCAAACTACTCGTTTTCATCCTACTCTGCAGATTTTCTACCATGCTGCATGTATTTTCCAACAACTTGCACCTCTCGTGTTTTTTTTAGCCAAACCACATTTAGTTTATGGATCAAGTATGTTTATTTTGCTCTCGGTTTCTTACATGCTCGTCTCCCTTCTGGTCTGTGCAAACACAGTTCAGCAGAACAGTCACTGAATTATTGTGGTGTAACCGCAGACTGAGTCGCTCGTACAGGATCGTAGGTTTTAGATACTTATTTTGTTGAAATTAAGAGATTTTAGTTTGGTTAATTTCCCCGATTTAACTGCACATGATTAGGTCAGTTACTATCAGAAATGCAGCCTGATGGGTCCTTATATTTTTGGACCATGTGGAAAGTTTGCCTGGAAAATATCCGGCCATCATATATTAGATATAAAGGAAAAAATGTGGAAAATTTCCAGTGAGTCAGACTCATCACCACAGAGTTATGTCCATTTAAATTCGACTGCCCTCAAAGGAAAACTATAGCCTCAGTTGTTCTCAGCGAGTACCTCAAAACAACATATTTTACAGTCAAGTGACAAATCCCTCAAGTGGTTGTTGGAATTATGAATCTTGTCTGTCAGGAGCAAGGGAGCAAGTAGTTTATTTTGACCATGACAGCAAAGGTCTCCTGCAATTCCCACTTGTCGAAGCAGCAGTTTTAATCCAAATTACAACGGTTCTCTGACCTGTATCGAGTCGTTTTCATGCCAAATCCTAACCAAACCTTATTTATAGCCACCTAAGATTGGAAAGCAGAATTGTTTTTCAGCAGTGATGAAAGGCACAGACAAAATGGTGTTGCCCTGCTGATTGGCTGGTTTTGGAGTGCAGGAAACGCCAACGGAGAGTGAAATGTAAAAAATAAACAGCATTTTTTTTAGAGTTATGTTTTAAATTTGGTCGGATGAATGTTGTAAAAAAACAAAGGGAAAGGTAGAGCTCGTATTAAAGGTCTGTTTTGTGATTCAAACAAATAAATATCTCTCTGTGGTGTTAGATAATCTTCTGGGGGAGATCCCTGACCAGACCTTGATAATCAAACATGAATTTCAAAACCTACAGATTACATCATTTGCCAGCATTTAGTTTGAAAACAGGAATCAGTGGTCTTTATGTAGAGAGGTAGACAGGTAGGTGTCAGTTAGTCCTCAAATATAAAATCATTGTCCGACTATTTTGATAATTGAAATAATTGGTTTGAGTATTTTCTAAGAAATAGGAATTAATTTTTTTTTTAAACATGAATATTTTGGGGTTCTTTCCTCCTGTGATAGTAAACTGATTATCTTTGGGTTGCAGACAAACATCCTGAGCGTTGGAAAACACTGACAGACTTTCCTCCACTATTTTCTGACATTTTAGAGAACAAACAACTAATTGATGAAAACAAACGACAGTGAAGTTAATTGGCAGTTGCAGCCCGAGTGTTTTTGTTCCTCCTGAGTCACAGTGATTCCCAAATGTTCCTGTAGAGTATCTGGATTTTAAAGATGCTTTCATTGATTGTAATTCAGTGTTTTGGTACATTTGTTGAACGTTAACTTTCCATCTGGCGGCAGGTTTTGAGTCCTCGTGGTCCTGCTGAGATCTTAACATCTGTTGTTGGGAATCCTGACCAAAACCAATCCCCCCTTTGCAGTTACAAGAAAACACCAACACACATATATATATATATATACAGGAGAGCTATCCGTCCACAAGCACATCAGCGCCCGTAACGCTGTTAAGGCTGTAACTAAGCCTCACAGTGTGTGAAACGTCCTAATCAAGATTAAGGGTATTCCTGCCATACATCGAGATGAATGAAGCGCTTCTCGGGCGCAGACGTGATGCAACAGCAGACTATTACCTGCTGAATGTGCCCTGAATGGATGATTGATGATTCATTCCGCGTCTCTCCTCTAACAATCACACAGATGAGAGGGCGAAGATTTCCCGCGCACCCCACAGAGACCCGTGACAGTGATGTCCACGAGGCGGCCAAGCAACGTGACAGCAGATCTATCTGGTCCAAGCGTTTACATTTTGTACCTTCACCCCGCAATCGATACGCTGAAAATAAGGTCCTCCCTCATTCAGAAAGTTCACCAAATGACATTGCGGTACAGTGGGCCGGAGTTTGAGCGGCGCTCTCGTGGACGTGAGGAAGAGTTGGGATCTTTTTGTGGCGTTCATTCGATGCACTTGGCTTCAGTGTGGAGGAGTTTGAAAAGATGGCCTCCAGTTGTTTTGAAGAGGCTTCTGTGATGGATGACCCAGCGTGAGCGAACCGTTTCTGGCATTGTGATCTTTCTGAATCTGTCTTCTTTTTTTTCTTTTCTTTTTTTTTTTTTAATGCAACATAATATGCAGAGTCAAATCAAAAGCTTGCTTGCATCCAGAAAAGGTTCGGCCAAAGCTGTGCAGCGTCTCGTTTTTTTTTTTTTTTTTACTAAAGATAAAAGAAGAGCTGCAAGACCTTCAGAGCAAAACGTTTGTAGCGACAAGGTGAAGAAAAATATGAATTTCAGCAGTTTCTGTGCGCAGTGGAGCAGTTAAACCGTATTAATGAACACCTCCTTTTGTCTTTCATTGCTGGAAACAAAAGTCTGTCATGTTGCTTGGCTGGTGATGTATCGCGAAAAGATAAAATGAGTGTGAGGATGAGGGAGACTTCCTGTTCACGATTTATTGGCACCATTATAGTCAAGCATAAAGCTCCTTAGGATGTAAAAGTTCAGTGAAATAGTATCTTATAGACTGTCAGCAAGGGAGCTGTAAAGTCGATTATGACATTACAGTTCAGTCTCCATGCTTGGGTTAAAGAATATTTCAGGCCTGATCTTGTTTCAGTTGTTTATCATGGATTTTCCTGCTTAGAGGATTTACTGGCGCTGCCCCCAAAGAGGTCTTAGGCGACCCCGTAGGAAAACCAAAGATTTAATTATGCATTTTTAAAAAATATATCTATATTTTTTACCACTTTTGTTAATTTACTCACTGCTGTCACGACATGACCTGTTCTGAGGTTAAAAAAAAACTCAATTTTAACAGCGATAATTGTTAAAATAATACCTTTTTACTGGATAATACAGCAGCTCACTCAGCAGCTCGCTGCGATAACCTCGGATTTTTTCACGAGGTCAAATATTATGTTAAGGAAACGCCGTGAATGGATGAGAAACACTTGATCCCACGGCGGTTTAATTATTAATTTATTTTAACGTGCTTCCCATGCTCGTAAATGAATAAACTGGATCTAAATCACCTTTGGCCAGTAATCCAAACTGTAAAGCCCATTTATTTTTCATGACTATTTCTAATCGGACTCGTTAAAAGACTCGAGTCTCTAATGATTACATGAAATATCATTTTGGTAGCGCAGTAATTACTGATGCTTCCCAGTAACTGAGTTTCAGTCTCGATGGGATCCCAAAACCAGATCAAGGGATATTAGGAAACTGCTTTGAGCTGGTTTAAATGCTTGTCAGGGTAATAACCCAAAGTGTGTGTGTGTGTGTGTGTGTGGATAGAGGAAATGAAGGTGTGGATGTACAGACTGCTTTCCAAACGATTCCGCGCACCTTTAGGATTTTTATCGTTTTGCTAAATTGCAGTCGCTGCGTTTAGAGAAAGCGCCATGATTTCCTGCAACTTGGTGTGCTGATAATTTCACAAGCGGAGGTGTCACTGGAATCATATTTTCTCCACAATTTTCTCTTGAGATTATCAAAAAACACGCGGCACATCTGAAGTGCGTGCCCAGTCGTCGTCGTCGTCGTCGTCGTCGTCAGGCCTAATTCCTTGTTGTGGAAACTCTGCTCTGTTGTCACCGGCGTTATGTATGGTCCCCAAACTGTGACATGCAATTAGCTTTCATCTAAAGCACCTGACAGTCTCTGGATTAGAGCACTCGGAGGCACATTCACAGAGACCCCACTTCACGGATTAGAGCCCAACCTGTAATCCAGTCCGGGGAGATTAGGCAGATCAGAGGCAGTCCTGACTAAAGCAACGTTTATATCCAGAACACCCCGACTGACTGCAGCAACACTCGGAGGGCCAAGATTTACCTCCGCTCGGCTTCAAAAACATGCAAGTGATGCACAAAGAGAGCGAGTGTCGGGTGCATGAATGTGCCTGAAAGAGATACTGCAGGGAGAAGAGCGGGAAGCTAAAGGAGACGGGAAAACAAACACGGGAGTGTAAAGGTCATCAGCCACACGGTGATAACTTTGGACTTAACAGATATTGGTTTGTCAATATTGCGTGTTATTAAATACCAAACGACGTCGCCCAAAGCTAAAGGTTGAATTTATTTTACACTTAATTGCATTTATTATTAGCAGTGGATCCCCCTCCTGCAGGTTTCCAAGGTTTGAATATGTCTGACTCAGAAACAGCTGAACCGAAGAAGATGTTTAAATCTAAACATCTCTGAGTGTTTCATTTACATATTTTTCGACGACCAGAAAAGGCAGTGAATGACTGTACCGCAGGTTCTACGTCAGCTAAAGTGTTTATCTGTGACATAAAAGCGAGAAATGTGCGCACTGTACAGACAAGAAGCCAGGAAATACAACGTTCTGATCTAAAAGAGGTTTTCATCCGATGACGTCGATTAACGACAAAATGAGTATTTATGAAACAAAAGCTAATTTGCGAACATTTTAATAATCGATAAATTGGTAAAGATGTTTCTCAAGCTGAAGAAAAGAACAAGCTGCATTTTTGCTCCATGTGATGGGAAATTAAGCATGTTTTATAATCGCTGATAAGAATAATTGTAAGAAAAAAGGCAAACACACCCATCGCTCAGGTGATCGGCATGATTTAAGGTCCATCTGCTTCCAGAGAGGACAGGTAGTGATGAGTAACGCTATCGCATAAAGACATACGGGAGGAAAAAAGTAGATAAAATAAAAAATTACATAGAAAATAGTCCAAAAAAAAAATCTGTCCAGTACAATCCATTTACAGTTTATCCAAGAAAGCAATAGTCATCGTGGGAAATCATTTGTTAGAGAGATTATCTTAATTGTTGATTAATCTCCTGAATATTTTCTCGATTAGCTGTTTGGTCCATAAAACGGTGAAACACGTCCGTCGCTGTTTCCCAAAGCTCACGATGACAAATTTTGTCGAAATAAATTCAGTTTATTGTCACAGAGGGTCAAAAAAAGAATCCCAAATATTTCAGAAGCTGCAATCAGGGAATTAGTTTTTTCTTCAAATATTAGAATAGCTGATAATTAACAGTTGACAGCTTATTGATTAATCAATTAATCATGAAAGGTCGAATAGAAACCAGTGCAGCAAAAACAGCAATCTGTGTTTTAGGTATTTAAATTATGCAACCATTGACTTCCATTCATCTCTGTGCAACGTGAATATCTAGGAACGTTTACGTAGACTGTTGAAATGTCTGCTGACGTTCTGTAGCTTTCTGAAAACCCAACAATGCACTGATCCCACTAACAAGCGCTGTGGGATCCGTGTGAGTCCTCGGAGCCAAAAGGCGCCACTGTTGTCCAAAAACTATTAAAAACACATCAGTGAGCCGCGCTGTGGCACTGCCTGACATCTGACATGTGTCTTTCATTACGGCGAACACACACACACACACACACACACACTATAGATTATTTTAAGTAAATCCCACACACACCATCTCGCTGCTGGAAATACTCCCCAGAGCAGCAAATGTGGAAACGAACACTGTTGTTGTTTTTTTTTTTATTTTCTTCCTCCTATGGGATTAGTTAAATACAGAATATCTCTTTCATAATCCTTTAGAAGTTGATATTAGTCTGACTTATCCTGATAACATTTTGGATAGAGTTTCCAGCTGTGTGTGGAAATCAATGGCTCCCGATCCAAACGAAAAAAAACGTCAAAAACTGTGTCTGAAAAAGGTAAATGTGACGTTCACGTGGTCGGTATGAGGAGGGCCAGTTTGAATGCTGGTGTGTCAGGACGAATCTTAAAGTCGAATTGAAGGCTCCAAGAATTAAAGATAATCGTTAGCAGCAGCCCACAGTTACGATTCAATAAAGTTTGGGGACTCATGAGAGAATCTGTGTAGCTTCTGTATTTCCCCATAATTCACACAAATCATCCCTTTGTGAGACCCTTTCTTCCAGGCTCCAGTGATGCAGGCGAGAATATGCCTCGATAAAAAGAAAACACACACAGAAAGTCATATCAGGCAAAGCCTTGTGCAAATTTAATTTGTGAAATATAGATTAAATGCAGCCTTTCCTTTCAAATATATTCTAACATATCTCCCAATCATGTCCAGAGGCTTTTATTTCATGGCTCAGACTTCTTCCAACTTTTCCACCTGCAGTTTGTTACACAGGAGCCTCCCGCCCCCCCGAAAAACCCCATTTAACTGTCTGTTAATATTATTCCCTGATTCGGCTTGTGAGGCAGAATCCCTCAACAAGATAACACAAACAGCATCGGTATGCAGAAGTCCTTTAGGAAACGACTCTCAGATTGCCAGATGCAGCGTATAGGCGGGCTGTTGGACAAACTTAAATGCTATCTACTCTTGGCGAGGCTGTGATAAGGCGCAGGCGTCCGCTCTTTGAAACAGGAAGATAAACAACCCCGGCTTCCCTCGGGAGCTCGAAGGATATTCTATGGGCCGGACCCCCGAACAGCAACAACAAATTCCACCTTTAATAGAAGCACCGGAGGAGCCAGATGACTCTGCGGTGGGCTGTACACAAAACCTTGTGAGGGAGAATGAAAGTGTGTGTCAGTTTTCATTTGCGTGAATGCTGCGGCTGCTGTGGCTGCTGCGTGGGGAGGATTTGTGAGTGCGACAGTTCTAGTTTAACAGAGTGGGAACGGAGGGAGGCCGGGCCGGTGGCAGATTTGGGCGACCACTTTGCAATCTTGATTGGATGGAGTCAGAAATTAATAGAGTTGTTGTTCCCTTAATAGTGTTTGTGCATAAATACTACGCAGGAAAAGTTCTGAAAATGAGTTCTGCAGATTTATTGGCTTTTTAAATTTAAGATGCTCTTATCCGGAGGAGCTTAAAGCGTGAGGAGCTATTAGAGAGTCAGAATCTGGCTGGAGGACATGTGGCTGGTGTGGGATCAGACCTGCACCTTCTCAGGTGTGGGGTAGTCGCTCTCGCCTCCACCTCGCAGCCAGAGCTTATTTTAATCTAATTTCTGACTTTCAGACTCCGTGAATCATCCACCATAAGATGCTAAGTTCAAGAAAAGGAGACAAAATATATCAGGTTTTGAGATATTTCATTCCTGCGTTTGATGGAAGCGTTCCTCGAGACAGGACTTGATTCCGTCTTTTAGAGGATTTTCCGACCAGGCACTCGGGATATGATTGTCGTCATAGTCATTTATAGTGAATTTAGCTTGTCTCGCCTTGTGAGGTCCCCCAGTAGTTGAGCTGATGGATCAACTAAGGGCATTTGACGCCCCCCTAAGAGTTTAGGTTTATATTCTCCCAGTGATATCAAAGTGTTACCTGAGGGGGGTCAGAGATGATGACAAATCACAAAGTGTGTCAAGACATCACAGGCAGCTGTGGTTGGAGCTGAGTCCTATCACTGCAGCACCGCTTTGAGAGGCCAGGGCACAATTATTACCATGACTTCTGAGGAGGATAAATACTGTACGCGGACAGACTGCGGGATATTAGAGGGGGGCAGTTTGAAGAAGAAGAAGATGGAGGAGGAGGAGGAGGAGGAGGAGGTGGGGAGGAGGGGGGGGGGGAAACCTAGCCACCAGTTTTCCAACTTACCCAGAGGAAAAATGCATAATCATATTATTTCACACACGACTTGGTTCAAAGGCGGCCAAAATAAGTTTGTGAGGTTCCCATGGGTCTGTCAATCTGTTGAAGGAGCTGCAGGCGAAAGCTTAGGATGCACTGAGTACGAAACAATTATGATCATCCCATTAAAGCATAGCGAAGCAATTTGGCAGCCCAGTCTGGAAAAAAAAAAAAAAAAACAACACACACTCCCGTCAAACGATGCTACGAGATCAACTGGCGCCGTGCTTTTGTACATATAGCAGCTCGCATAGCCAGTGATTAATGTCGCTCTCTGTTTCCTGACAAAAGCAGAATCCATGTTAGTTAATGTTATTGTTTCTGAAATCGAAGAATCGTTCTTTCAAAGCAGGAAGGGCTCCATAAAGTCAAAAAAAAAAAAAAAAGAAAACGGAGGAAGGGGGGGTGAAATGATTAGTGCGCTTAGTCAGCTGTGAAATTGAGTTTATGGTTTTCAAGACGGTGAATTCAATTCGATAATGGGTATTAAGTTGTAGAGAATAATTAATAGTAATTGACTTCTTTCCATCACTATGCAAATTAAACACAGATAACACCACGGGAGCTTTTTAAGGCCAGTCAAGTTTGTGGGGATTAAGTTTATGGAATTTTTGTTGGAGAGAGGAGTGGCTCCTGTTCTGCTTTGATTGCTTTGTTGACAGATTTATCAGCGGGTGAGGGGTTACTGTCTCTTGGAGGATTAAAGGAATTGGGTTGTCACAAACTGTCAAGGCGTTTGAGTTAGGAGCATTCTGGTATGTTTGTCATAATGGGCTCAGGCTGTTCGCCGCCGTACTGTCAAATATATTCTTATTGAGGCGCGTCTGTAAATGGGAGAAAGACGGAGAGAAAATCCAAAAAGGGAAGGATTGAATGGATAGTGCTGAGGGAGGAATATCCGGCGGGACTGTGTGCGGGTGGATTTGTCAAGATGCAGATTTGGATTGGGAGCGCTTGTGTTCAACGCTGACGTCTGTTAATTCACAAAGATATTAATGAATCCGCGCGTAGATGTGTGTTAAATCCGGTTTGTGGATGTTAAATTGATCATCGCGGGACTTAAAATCGCGCCTTTAACTGTGTGAAAAAATAATTTCTGCCATTCTTAGACAGCGGCGTGATCCTGAAGTGATAAATTTGTGCACAAAGATCTTTTGTCTCCCTGAAACTTGCGAATATTTTCCGAGCACAAATGTTAATCACAGAAAACACAGAGGAGGTACACAACGGTGTGAAAATGCAATAAAAAAAAAAAAAAAAGGTCAAATCAGAATGACATTTAACTCACCAGAGAGATGACTGACAGCAGCAGCACGGCGGCAGCAGCCCACAGACATGTGGTCTTCATGCCTCGCTGTGGAGCGTCTCCCCTCATGTCAAGCTGTCCTTGATCTTCTTCTCAGCCGCAACAAGAAAAGAAGAAAAAAGAGAAAAGAGAACCTCCTCCTGATTGAGCCGTTATCAGCTGCTCAACTTGGGGAGAAACAAAGAGTGCGAGGCGGTCCGGAGGCGAGGGAGCACAGATGGATCTTCTCAGGCTCATTCAGGAAGGGTCAGGTGTCTGCTCGAGTGACTGGCCGGCTGCTTTCGTGTCGCAGGGTTGGGGAGAGACGGCGTGGTGGGAACTGAGGTGTTTGTACATCTGAGTGTCAGTGTGGAAGGATGTTTTATATAGCGTGGTTCAGAGAGAGAGAGAGGGAGAGAGGGGGGGAGGATAGAGAGAGAAATGGACTGAGTGAGGAAGGGGGGAGGGAGAGAGGAGAACAGGGGGAGCAGGGAGGGAGGTTATAGACTTTTGAGGAGCAACTTTTCTTTTAACATCATCAAGCGCTGACATCTAGTGGCAGTCAGCTGCACTGGCTTCTCCCTGTTCCACTGTAACCATCACAGGGACGCTGTAATCCTCTTTATGTCTGTCTGATGTGGGGTTTTTTTGCACAATGTGCCGCAATCAGGTATTAAAAACTGCATTTTAACGTCGCGACTGCTGAGTTGCAGTTTTTAATGGCAGCTCGTTCTCAAAGAAATAAGGTTGTTTAGATGTTTACGCTAAATAACGAAGCTT